GATCAGGTGTGTGTCTCACTGACAGATGGAAAGTACTCTTGATTTTGCCTCTGTGTTCTTTGGGGATTACGTTTCTTCCACTCGGATATTTGTGGGACACTTTTATATTTCTCCGAGACAGTCTTTGTATTGGAGGTTTGTTTTTTTTCCCCAAGGGGCAAGAAGGGGCAAGTCAGAATTTTCTCCCTTTGCTTTACGACAGGGATCTCTCCCAGTTACCTGTGCCTCCTTCCCAACACATTCAGGCTGGGCCACGAGGAAAGGAAGCTGCATGCACTATTTCTGTCATTGAAAAGGAACTGACCAGTATTGTTTCTCTCTTTTTTAAAGTGTGTTCTACCTTATAAGGAGCAACTGATTGTTTGAATCTCCCAACAGTGCACCAACCTAGCTAGATTGTGTCCATTGATTTTTTTTTAATAGCATCTTGTTTTTGTTCAAAGCCCCGTCTTTCCTGAACAGATGAATGGCTTTTTAGCGTCAGTCGTTTCTTCTGAAAGGAAAAAGTAATCAAATTTTACCCCGTCCCTTTTTGATATACAGTTAGTGAGCCATGCTGCTGCCAGAAACCAGTCATCTCTAATCTTATTGTTAAGAGACTCCAAAGTGGATGATCCTTGTCGAAGATAACGCCATTGTAATATCTCGGAGTGTGCTTTGCTTTGCTAGTCACTGCCATGTGAGTCCAGTACTGTACTTTAGAAATGTCCCCTAAAAGCACTTACATGTACAACTTCGGGTTTATGAAGATGTTTTAAGGAGGAAAAAAAACAGCTCACACTTTAACACTAATACAAAAATGAAACAACGCTTAAATACTGTAGCGTGCAGGGTTTTTTTCCACAGTATCATGTGTTACATTTTCACAGGATTCTTGCACTAATGGTTTACCATCTGTTCTCTCTGTAAATGGGTGCACTTTACTGTTTGAATTTGTTACTATGATAAATACTGGATATTTAAGCGTGAGTAGTGTCTTCATTAGAAAATAGCATAACAGCTCTTGTCTCAGTGTATTTTTCAAAAAAGAAAAAAGAAATGAAGCAATGAATCATACCATTTATAGCACAAGAACTAACTGTTGTATATAAGCATCAAAAGATTGAGTAATTTTTAAATACAAAACTATTTGCAGTGATTTTTAAAGCGCTTCCCCAGCAATTTTCTTAGGACACCTGAGGGATATTTGTTTCTTTAGTTACTGGATTGGTAAGGAACACATGTCTCAATTGAAAATCAATAAACAATCGTGTGTATCTTCCAAGTCATAATTAGTATCTGGCATGGCCATTAGTTTGCATTTGCTGTCATATTTTGTCTTGGTTGTAGAGTACACTATCTAAAGGCAACTCAATAGAGCACAAGACTGAAATTTCACTTGCTGCCCCTTCACTCCTTCAGGTTAGATGCATATCTTGTAAGCTTGTCTGCTGAGGAAGGTAGGACAGTACTGGACCGTATCCCCGGCTGGTGTCAGGATTTCCAGGTAGGCTATACTTAGATCCTGTACATTTCTCTGTTGGACTAATTAAGACTACCAGCATTGCCCCCCCAACCAGCACCCCACCAGGAGCTACGTAATTTGAGACTGCCCTCGGAAGTAGGATTCTTGAGGTGCACCAGGTAAAACAGTTTCTTGATGCCTATGTCAAGACCCCAAGAATGTTTTCCTTGGAGTGTAGTCTGGGGGGGTATTCCTAAACAAATACTTGTTGTAACCAAACTAGCCACTAGATGTCACTGTGACTCCACACAGGGTCACTTTGAGAGGGCACTGAGTATTGATCTGAGCTAGAATTTCTATCCCAGCTGTGAGGATCGGGATTCACCAGCTGGAAAGACTACACTCAACCCCAGCTTTGTGTGTGGCTCCACAGTGATCACTACAAGCCAGCTTAGGAATGGTTCTGGAGGGTTTGAAGATAGAGCTTAGTGGAGGGAAGGGTTCAAGGAGTGAGGCCCTTGGACCCATCTCAGAGGGAGAATAAGCTGGACAGCCTGAGCTGTACCCCCTTCTTCCTTACATTACTGGGTGCAGAGAAATGCTGTTGTGTAGGTGAGGACTGGGCCAGTTGCTGGCTGACCTGGACTGTTGGAATCACATACACGGTAGCTTAGGGGAGTTTTAGTTGAAGACTGGGCCTAGAATTTGCTTTCTTTAGAAGTTTTTGTGCACATACATAAACCATAATTTGGATTAAGTAAGCCCTGGCGAGGGTGGCTGCTAAGTACCAGTAACTCAGTGCCCTAGTACAAAGATTATTGTATCTTCAGGGCTACCCAGAAGAAGTCTAGCGAAAACCCAAGTGCCAGCTACGCCTTACTTAGAGCACCAAGCACGCCTGCTAGTTTTTTACCTTCATTGCTAAGGTGGGTCCTTGCTGATCTGTTGCAAGCTCTTTGGTTGTTGTCGTCATTTTTCCTTTGGACGTTCCAGACAATTCATCTACCACGATTACCGATCTTTAAACAAGGGCTTAGGGTAAGAGCTACTGTATCTACTGTGCAGTGTCGCAGAGACCTCCATAGCAAAATGCCTTTACTCACTTCCGGTTGCTCAAAGGAAAATGTGGTGGGGATGCATGTGGACACAAGCACAATGGTGAAGGTGGATCTGCTTTTTCAGAATTACTTGAATAATTGATGGACTTTTATTCACTCAAACTCTTTTTCTAATACAAACCACTAAGGGCTGAATTATTTAGCAAGATTCATTTGTGTGCAACGCCTGACAACAGCTGAATCACACTGGAACCTTTTACTGATGTATACACGACACCCAGGAGAAAACAAAACGAACACAGTCAGCGCTTTTAAAGGGACTGGACACCAGATCAGTACACTGTATCCTTTATATTCTACCAGCCCTTCGGTTGCGCTCATGCCACTTAGCAGTTAACAACCTGATGTGGAGCTTGGCCCGGCCCTTTTACGCTCACTGCTCGGTTACGAAGGCGATGGGGATTGGCCACTGCTAGAACACAGAGTCTTGTTATGGGTTGGTGGGAAAGCCTCAAGCCCAGAGAGGTAGGTCACGTTAGCTACAGTATGCCTTGGTGGGCCCTGACATGCCAGACAAACTAGGGGAGTCACTCTGTGCTTAGATCCATTTTGCCAATACATCAATAACCTAGAGATTCCAATGTGGTCGCTTCCAGCAGTGACGGTGTCATGTCTGTCCAGCATTTTATTGTCCGTAGTATTACAGCATTTTTGTCTCTGTTCCGTCTGCTCCACTTTCAAGAGGATTTGAATTAGTACAAAGATGTACAGTATATACACCTTGGATGATTTGTACTAAATAAATAGTACTGTTTGCCATCCTTCAAGACACTTGCTGGGAAGATCTTTAAGACACTTAATTTTCCTTTAGCTTTTCTATAACTCTGATGTAAAGGACTTTCTCTGTACAGTATATTACTCAATGCATGTTCTGTTCTCTCTACGGATATATTGAACACGACACAGTTGTGATATTGTGCAGGGGGAAGGCAACTCCTGCACTCAGCTGAGGCCCTCAGCCTCTAATGTATAAGGAAAGAAAAACTATTTTTCCTTTGCTGTATTTGCTTGAGCAGAGTTTTCTTGTCTGTACATGTGAGCTGTGAGATAGATGTGAAAAGTTCAACCGAATGCATTTGCCCCCATGTATACAGATTGTAATCTGTACAATGACCTGTACGTATGAAAAAAATGTACTTATTTATAAATGGTTAACACTTGGAAAGAGAGTCTGGCCTGGTGTTTTCCTCATTGCTGCAGCCTGAAATTAAGAGCATTCGATTGTGTCTTAGCAGAGCCATACAGAGATGCATGGTGCATCTCTACTGATGGAGCCTGGGTGCACCCAGTTCTTGTATGGGGGTGGGGGAGAGTCTGCCCCCTCTTGTCATTCCTGCTGGATGCAGGAGAATGGACCAGTCTCTTCCTAAGCAGGCCCCTGCCTTGAACCACCTACTGCCTGGTAGACGAGATTTCCCCCCAGCAGAGCAGCTTGTATGTGGAGCACACAGGCTGCCTCCATCTTCTTGTACCAGTTCCACTACTCCCCCAAGAGGAAAAGGCTCATTCCAGCACCCTGAGCTGTTGATACATAACATGACCTTGACTAATAGAAAAATGGTGTTGCCAGGTAATTTAGGTGAGCACCTAACCCAACAGTCCTTCTGAGCCTTATCTAAAACAGCCACTCGTGATTGGCAGCTGCGTAGTTAGAACAGATTTTTGTTGGACTAGCCGGCTTCCAGCAGCCCTGCAGAGCACCCGAGCGTGGTGTGCACGATGCTAGTGGGAATGATGCTTACCACAGCTGGAGAACTGCTGCCTCAAGGTATGTAGAACCTCAGGGCCCCTGCTGTGGGGCAGCCCTACTGGCTCTAGGGATGGCTGCTGGTGGGGAAGCATTGAGTGACTGCACTTTAGCAAACCCCCTTTCCAAAGAGAGCAGTTACAGCCCATGGCCCTGCTGGTACCTCCACCAGACAGCACCTTGCTCACACACCACAGCATGTGAGTCGCTGTCTGTCTAGCTGGGCAGGAGAGGTATTTTCTGTATTCGCCCCTCTCGTTTGAGCCAAACGGCCTCTGGCATCCTTAAAGACAAGGGCAGGACCTGCACAGGGGCAGTCACATGGTTAAGCACTGCACTCAGTGCCGGATCATGCAGTGATTTGGGCACAAGTTAGACGGGGCCAGATTATTGAACGGTAGGTAGGTGGGTTATATGCATGTTTAGGCATCTAGATGCCTTTACAAATCTGGCCCTTAAACTAAGTCTGAGCCTCTCAGGACCAGGCACTAACTCACACACCCAAGCGACGTGGGCCTTAATTTACGTATTTGCTACAGCTTCTCAGCGCTGATAGATACGTCCTTTACTGGAAGCATGCAATGAACGTGAGGTAATCAGACCGCTCAATCTGTTAGCTCTGGCTCCAAGATGACCCGAGGAGTTGTGCTTACTTTGGCCAGCTAGAAAGACTAGAAAGAGCGGCCCAGGCTAGTTACCAGGATTTATTGACTCAGGTGCAGTACAGTACAGGCGAACAGAGTTCAAACAGAGACTGTTTAGCGCAGCATTTCATTCACATGGTTTTTCCTTACTAGCATTTATGAGCCACCAGCACAATGCGCTGATTGTGGCTCCTTCGACGCGGCTTTAAAGATCATTTGGTTTTAAAACAGCCTAGAAAATATTCGCCCGTGTAAACGTTAGCTGCAGCATTTGGGGTCAGTTCAGGAATATGCATTTGGCAGAGGAGAGGTTTCTGCAGTACAAGAATCTGCTGCAAATGCCCATCGCTGGCAGGCATTTTTCCAGGGGACTTTACACCCTCGGTTTGATACAAGCTTTTTTTTTTTTTTTGGCCGTGAGAGATGAGTGCACTGCTGGGAAGGGAAACACGGCCCTAGCAGGGTGTTACTTGTCTGAGCAAACCGTACGGAGTTGGCCAGTTGTTTTTCAGACTAAAGGAACTTGCATCGGTTCTCCTGAGACACAAGATCAGCCCGAACAAGTGGGTGAAACCCTGACTCCACTGAAGTCAGGGGAGAGAGAATTTCAAACACTGGCCAGAATAGTTTTGCACAATTTTTTTCTGCACGCACCACATTTGCTCCCCTTTTCTTCCCACAGTCAGGACAGGGGATGACTGCTGTCTTTCAAAAACCGGGCAGGCGCCCTGGCAGTGTTAGCAAACTCGCAAGCCAGATCTCGCTCACTACAGAAGTTCCAAACGGACGTTTACTTAAATGTGTCTCTGGCAGTGGAAGTAAAATGTGAGCGGAAGTTTTCACAGGGGCCTGGTGATTTTTGGGGGCCCAGCTTGAGTGCTGAGGTAAACAGAGCCAGCATCACTCCAGAGACCCAGCCCCTCTCTGCTCAGCAGGGGGAGTGTGAAAGGGAGGCAGTGGTGGGAGTGGGACAAGCAAACCCTCCGCTCAAGCTTTATCGGGCTCAGGTCACTTTAGGGGAAGGAGTCAGAATCTGCACTGAACAGAGGCTGGGGAAATGTTTACAATGAGAATCAGCAGCCACATGATACTGTTTGTAAACCCAGAAAAAATTTATCTGCTAATTAACAGCTCAGGCAGGGCTGTCAAAGCTCCTCCCCCCAGCAGTTATCTGCTAGAGCCCACCTGTGCCCCAACAACTGGTCTTCTGCATATAAAAGCCAGGGCTGACGGGAAGGGGCCCTGCACTCTCTCTTTCACTCTGTGTGGGACAACTTTGGCTTTCTGCCCAGGGCCCTAATGCCGAGCACGCTTGGCAGAGCCCCTGAAACAGGAGTGGTTTTCAACCTGTGCTCTGTGGCCACCTGGGGGGCTGCAAACTATGGCTAAGGGGGCCATGTCTCCATTTGAAATGCTTTAGGTTGAACACCTGTGTTGTAGAGTGAAGCGATGGTGTTACAAACAAGTTGGCCAGGGTACAGCTGTTATCGCAACACAGCATCCTGGATCACCAGGGAGCTGGGTGTGCACTATTAACAGGTCGGGGGGGGGGGGTGCTCGACCACCCATTGAGGAAAGCATGGCTAGAAGGCTCTCAAGCAGCCAAATGGAAACAGGGCGTTAGTCTGCTAATCTCAACCCCATGCACCGTTCAGCCGGGGCAGCCGAGCCTGCCACGCTCTGCGTCCAAAGCTGCATTGGAGAGTGGGGCTAGTCCCTGATTCAGTCAGGCAAGAAGGGAATTTTTCACTTGACCAGAGCTCAAAGAGCCGGGAAGCGATACAGGTGATCAGTGCAAAGACCCTGCAGGGAAGCGAGGCCTTTGCTGCAGTATCACTAGGCACCAGCACGGCCTGTCAACACCTGTAGTCCTGCAGCTGCTTACAGAGACGAGCAAACAAGGGGGTAGATGGGAAAGTTTTGCATTTTAGATGTTAAGAAAAGCCACTGGCAGCTGCCCATGGGTCACTCGTGCAGACAGGGACTGTGCTCCCTGCAGTGAGAGCTGGGGGGAACCAGGCCTTTACTTGAACATAATTTAAAAAAAATTCACTGCCCCTCCAGTCACTAGACCGTCCCAACCCTGCAGTTCTGCTCTGCTCGACATCAGCTGGCTGAAGCAGAATGGAGCTGGGGCGGCCCCGGCGGGAACGAGAGGCACCAGGGATGAGGATTTCTAAAAACACTGATGTTTAGGCTGGGTTTAAGGGGGGGGAGGGGTTATCTTACCCGGGGCAGACAACAGCACATGTACACGCCCCCTCCCACCCCATGCTGACTGATCAGAGATAGGTGCTGCTGCCAGCAGGGGGCTGCAGACTGGTTAGGGCTACACAAATACCAAGTGATCATTAAAAATACCCTAGCCAGAGAGACACCAAAAGCTTTGCATGCAAGTGAGGGCGGGTTTAAAACAAGGGTCCTCGAGGACTGGGTTTGGCTGCCGTGGAGCGTGGTGCTATACCCACCGCTTGGCATTGAGTGAACTCGAGGAGGGAGAAGAAGTCCGTGCAGGCAACTGAAGGAGTGAGCCAGGCCCTGCCCTTCATCCACACTTGAGTTAGATGTGTTAGTGGGCCTCGAGCTAAAGTGCCAGACAGGCTGGGACATGGAAATGCTGCCGTCCTGCTTGAGGGGCGAGGGATCCAACCCCCGCCCAGCAGCTGGGAATGCCCCTGAGCCTGGCACATCCAAAGCCCATCCCCCATGATTTGGGTGGCAGGGGAGTGGCCATGGATGGCGTAAGGGCTCAGTGGGAGAATATGGCACAACCCAGTGTCCCAGAGCAACATGATGCCTATTACCAGGATGGGGCTGGGAGCTGCTGCATTGGCACAGAGCTCCCCTGCAGACAGGGGGTCAAAGCAGATGCCCTCGCGCCAGCTGTATGTGTAACAACCAGCAGGTGGCAGAGAGGTCACAGCAACACCAACACACCAGCAACAGACACCGGAGGGGCTAGTACATGCAGGAGTGAGCAACGACCACAACGTCCACCCCCACCCTGCCTCTGGGGGGAGCTCCCCAGCCAGGGAGCCATCACTGGCTGCTGCTGGGGCTCTCCCCCTTAGTGAGGGTTTTAAAATCCATGGACAGGGCCAGCTCCTCAGCCAGGGGCGGCCGCTTCCACTCGTCCCGCGTCAGGATGTAGCCGATCACCAGGCCAAAGACGATCAGCAGCAGGCCCAGGACGTTGGCCAGGATCCCTTCAGGCACGAACGAGCTGTAGGTGGCCCTGCAGGAGCAGAGAGGGGCTGCGCTGAGAACCAGGGTTCCCTCCGCCAGAGGAGGAAAACGTCTGCCCTGCCACCCATGTGGTTCCCTGGGGTCCAGCCCAGAGCATGGTACCGTGCTTCTCCCACCCACAGCCCAGGAAATGACACCCAATCATCCTGAGCCTGCAGGGGGCGGCCCACAGCCCCCATGGCCCTGGGAGTGTTTCCTCTCCTCTGAGGCCACGGCCAAAGGCAAGAACACATGCTAAGGGTCTGATCGGAGATGGCCCCAAGAAATGCTCTCCAGCCACTTTGCTGCCTGTTCTAACATGGGGGGGGGGGTCACACTCCCCGTCACAGCGGCAGCATGGGCGAGTGAGCTGCAGAGCCCCAGGGAGCCCAAGCTGCATGTGTTCGAGGTGCTGCGGGGGAGGAGAGGGACAGAGTCTTGCCTGCCGTGGGAAAGGCTCTGAAGTGCATTTGGGGCCTGGGGTTCGCTGACCGTGGACACCACCCCCCTGCACATGCTCGAGGGATCAGTCCAAGAAGGGGGTTGTGTAATTTGCACCCACGTCCATTCTCCCCTTCAGAAACAAGCCTGGAAAACATTTCAATCTACATTTTCTAATGGCAAACGTTCCAGGTGAAAGATTTCCAGCAGCTCCAGTCATTAGGGCCCGTGGCTCACCCCCTGGAGGGGTGGCGCCCCCAGCTGGCCAGGGAAGGCTTTGCTAGCACTGGCCAGGGATTCCTCCGGCTATTTTTGCCACCGAGGCCGTTACCTTTGAGAAAAGTCAGATTTGCCCTCTGAGGGCCTGAACCAGGCCCACGTTTACGAGAGGTGAGCGCCCTCACGCTGAGGGAGGTTCGGTGATAGGACTGAAATCTGGGTCCGGCCGACCCATTCACTCCATTTCCCTGGGAGGTGCCGGCCTGCGGCAAGGGTGCCTTGTTTCTAAGCTCACGGAGGACGCTGTGAATTGCAGCTCAGGTGCTTCCGTCACTTACTGGATACTGAAGAGGAGCAGCTCCTTGATGCCCAGGAGGCAGGTGGCGATGGAGAGAACGAGGAGGAAGACGCCGAAGAAGACGTGCTGTGGTTTGTATCTGCTGCGGAGCGAGAAGGATGCTCCAGGAAACAGGAAGAAGCTGAAGCCCACGAGCCACTGGAGGGGAAGGAGACAGTGCAGAGGGGCTGAAGGGCCCTTTCCCGGCAGAGCCCCGGCTTCCCACGGGGAGTTGGTGTTATTACAACAGGCCTCCGAAATCGGAGCCAATCAGCTCCTGGCCCGGCTAACCCAGGACTGGCGATCGTTGGCTAGTCCAGCCAAGCCCTCCTCAGACGCTGGCACAGCCACAAGCGCCTGCCTGCAGCCAAGGAACAGAGACTGGAGATTCCAAACAAATCTACCAGAGCTGGGGCTCGAACCCGGCATCCTGACCCCCAGCCCCTGCTCTAACCACTGGAGGACTCTGCCTGTCTGACTGCAAGGCAGGTCGGAGCTCTCCCCAAGCGCACCCTCCTCCTCCTCACCTGGATGAAGTAGAGGCTGAAGGCTGCTATTCCACACCAGCTGTGCAGGCTGTACATGTCTGCAAAGCCTTTCTTCCTGTGGTAATCGAACACGGCGATCACCCCTGCAGGGATGGCAGGAGGCGGCCGGTTAGGGCTGGGGCCCATTCGTTAGCCCGTTCGCACCCACACCGCACTCAGGGATCCAGCCTGGACCCGCCACCCAACCCGGCCCGGGGAGCAGAGCCCCAAACCACAGGCACTGACCCTGGGCAGCAAGGGCTCTGCTCTGGGAGCCTTCCTGGGATGATCTTTTCCTTGTAATAGAAGCAGCTGGATTGAAAAGCCGCCCTGGGCAGGATGCCGCTGACCCAACCCAGCGGCCTTAGGGGCATGGGGACGGCCAGGCGGGTCCTTCCGGGTCACCTTTCCACTGGGGCGTCCGAGACTCACCCACAAGGGCGATGAGCAGCGCGAAGGCGTGGAGGAGCCCGTGGAGGATTTTGGCTGAGCGCTTGGTCTCGTTCCTGAAGACCCGGTAAACCAGGAGAGCTGGGGGAGAGAAACGTGCGTGAGGGCAGGGAACAGCCTCCTCGGCTCTGCAGCCCAGAGCAAAGGGAACCTTCCCCAGACCAGGTGGGGTCCCAGGGCCCCGAGGACAGGGAGAATCGGCACTAAAACGAATGCGTCCGAGCTGCTGGAGGGAGGCAGAGGGTGACTCATGCTGACGGGAGCGTTAAGCACTTGCTTGTTCTCCCAACTGCCTTTTCCAAATTGAATTTGCTACAATAAATCTTTTCTTTAAGCCCCAGGGGCTGTCTGGGGGCACCTGCTGATGCACTTTCCCTATCACGGCTCTGTACAGCCGCAATCAGCTCTCTGCCCAAGTGGCCGTCTGGGAGACGATTCCTGCCCCCAGCTCTGCACAATTACATTAGTGTGAAACGCAGCAGGGCACAACGCCGAGCTCCCTGCTAAGTGGTCTGCCTGCCGCGGGTTTGGGCCACGGCAGCTCCACTCCGCGGAGAACGGGAGGCTGCCGTTCGCTGCACTGTCACCAGAGACTGGGGTGGGGGGGATCTGGTAGCATCCTACTCCGGCACCCGAGCAGAACAGAAAATACCTCGTACTGAAGCAACCCGGTGCACAGGGCCAGTGCACCTGTTACCCCAGCTCCAGTCCCCATTGCTAACACCGGGGGACAGGTGTCCCTGTCCTTGGCCAGGTTGGCTACCTGGACCGAGTTACCTTCTTAGCGTCAAAGCCCTAATACTGCTGAACCGCAGCCGAGCAATGGAAGGCATTAAGGTCATGATTCCAAGCCAATTACTCACATGGAAATCAGGAGTCACTCCATTAAGGCTGCACCAGACACACGGAGACTTTCCAGCAAACAGCTGGAGGTATCTGTGTGATCGGGGCAGTGAAGGGGTCATTTCCAGCACAGCTCAGGAGCCTGGCTGAGAGGTAGGGAGCATTTTGAATGCTCTTAGCCCTTCAGCAATTCAGCATCAGGATCCCAGCTTACCATCCCCTTGGAGGAAGACCATGCCAATGACCATGCAGAGAGGGTGGACGTTGAATTGCAGCACGCTTTCCCAAGCAATACCGCCCCGGTACTGGCCCATCCAGGCGCCGGTCATGGCGATCACAGTCAAACCTAACAGCTGAGAGACTGCCATGTACCAGGAGAGCCCTGCTGGGCTCGCAGGCCTGGTGAGACCGTCCTCCATGCCAGGCGAGGCCAGGGACAAAAACTCAAACTGCAAGAACAAGGAGAAAAGTGATTAGCGTGGCAACCCGACGGCATGTGGGAGCACTGGGCTGCCCATAGGGACCAGGGCTGTGAACTCGGCTCAACTTCTACGGAGATCAAACCTCCACGTGGAGCCCTTCTAACTTCAGTGGGGATTAGAAACCAGCTACCAAGACCCATCCCTAGTTTTCAGCCCATCCTGACTCAGAACCAAGTCTCCCCAGAGCTGGATTGCTACTCAGCTTCAGACAGGACCTCTGAATCCTAATCCAGACCCACTCCCAGCTCGAACAGTGCCTGTGGAGCTGGCCAGCCCGGAGCACCTTGCTCTATTCCTCGCCCTCACTAATCTCTGTGCTGGACCTAGGGAAGTGCAGCCCGAACACTGCGTTGTTGGCATGTAGACAGGCAGCACTTGGCTGTTGGATTTAATTGCCTTATTCAACATTTATCTGGAGGGAGACACACCCAGAGGCAGGCAGGCTGGGTACTGTGTCTACACTGCAAAGACAAACCCAGAGCACAGGTCAGTTGACTCCGGCTCGCAGGGCTTGGGCTGCCGGGCTGAAAATAGCAGTGGAGCCCCGTCGCCACAAGCCGGAGTCCATTGTTCCAGGCTCAGCGACTCAGGGCCGTGGGGCTTGATTGCAGTGTAGACGTAGGTCTGGGCTAGGGTTCCCCTGGGGGTGGATTTCCTTTTAAAGAACTAGAAGGGAGAGGAAAGGAGAGGGCCAGAAACAGCTCTGCCAAACTGGCCAGTCAAGTCGTTTTCACTGAGCTTAGTGGCAGCTTTCAGTGTCTCCCCTCATTGGGCAACACTGCTCCAGCCCTGACCTGCCTAGATACAGACAGAAGCTTCCTGGTTTGCCTACAACCAGTCAGGGGCTAATCACAGGACAGGGTTAGCTTGGGGTGTTATAATGATCTCTCAAATCCACACCTGGTGCAACAGGTTTGGCTGGATAATTTAGCACAGGCGGTGGCCACAGTCACGGCTAAGAATTAATAAGATGAACAGACGTCCCTTTCCTTACCCACCACGGGGTCCTTCCCAGAGCCTTCCCTTTAAAAAAATCTCCATTTTATCCTCACTGGGAATACTCAGACCTTCTCTCTCCAGCGGATGCCCCAGTGTGTTATTTATATTATAAATTCTTTGGGGTCAGGAAACCGCTTATTTTTGTTCTGTTTGGACAGCAGCTGGCACAAAGTGGTTCTGGTCCATGACTGGGCTCTTCTGTACTACTGCAGGGAAAGATGTTAACGTGACTCTGGGTTTGTAAAGCATTGTATTAACGGGTCTGACCGGTAGCCAGCTCTTGAGATTTTATCACGAGGCTTGCAATTTGGTGATTTTCTTAAAGGCCAGCTCCTGGAGTCGGGTGTGAGAGAATCACCGCTTTCTTTTACAAAGCAAGTGTGCAGCACACATTGCAGAGAAAAAAAATTGAAACCCTGAACCCTAAAGGTTCAAAAACCAGACAGCAGATAAAGCAAACTTTAAAATAAAAAAAACGTTAAATGAGGAGATTTAAGCCAGTCCAGGGTGGATAAAAAGCAATAAATTTTTGGCAGGAAAAAAAAGAAAATAAAAATTTGGATTAAATTGGATTTTTTATGGTTATTTAAATGATAATAAATTTATCTATTTTTAAAAATAAACCTGTTTAAAACCAAATCTGAGTTTAAATTCAAAATATGTTAAGGCCTAAACTTATTATAATCTCTCAAAACATTTAAATAAAAAATGAAAATGCTGAATCCAGGAACCTCTAGCAAAAACTTTGCGGAAAAGGCGGCTTTTCTAGATAAAAGAAAGAATTGGGGGGGAAACATGTAACTTTTGAGGTCAAGCTTTAGGAATATAGCACAATAGGTCATGTACTGTATTAAGGGCTTGCTCCTATGGGGGACCCAGGGTGTGAGAGACTGACAAAGTCATCACAAGTGTTGGGACCTGGCCTCTGACTCCAGGAGACACCATCATGTATCTCATCAAGTTCAACTTCCAATTTTACAGCTTCCCCCTACCTGAGCTCTGCTTGGCTCAGTTCTCAAATTATGACAACTCCACCCACCCTGGAAACACTCTCCAGCCCAGGGGAAATCACTGATGGGCCCGGTGACAACCAGCCCTTGCTTTGGATGGCGCCAGCACGTCAAGTAAATGGCCTTGCTCTGTCTCTTTGCATGCGTACACAGAGATATAAACAGAGAAATCTATTCCTTTCTCAACTGCCTCCCTGTCTCTAAACATATAAAATACTGCAGGGCAACAGGCACGTGGGTTACACGAGCAGACATCTTGGATTGTTGTTAGCTCTGTTTTTCTGGGGTTAGGACCAGGGCAGGGCTGGGCAGTTATGGAACTAGGGAGAAGGAGCAGAGCATGCACCCAGAAAGGAGGAGCAACTTCGGTGTCAAAGCAGGACACTATGGGAAGAAGGGGCAAAATTCTTTGGAGTCCTGCATTTGAGCTCTAACTTTGTAGCTGATAATGTGGACACGTTGGAACAATCTGGATCAGCTGGTGAGTAAACTCATTTTCCCACCATTCTTATGGACCGCCTGGCATGTCTTACTAGGATAGTAAATGACAGCTTAGATTATTGTGGGCAGTGGTGTTGTAGCCACAGGTCTTGCTAACAGACTGTCATAAATGTGTGTTTTGAGTGGAAAATTTACTTACGAATTTCCAAGTATAAAGGGGATGTTCGTTTGTTGTGGGAGTACTTAATTACATTTTTACTGCTAACGCTGCACTTTGGAAATGACTTTTTGTTGCTCAATATAATGAAACCCCTTAGATGAAGTTTTCCTATGGAAAAGTAAAACTTTATTAGGCATTTATTAATTTTAACACTTGAAAGTGTTCCCCCCCCCCCCCAAAGCCGTTTGGAATGTTACTAGAGATAAGGGTTTTAATAGATTTAGCTACAGCCAGGCCTCAATTTACACGGTGGTTATGTTCTTGAACAAACACTGTGCAAATAGAAATCGTGTAAAAAGACACCAAGGGTCTATGGGAAATAAGGGTTTAGGTTCCAGGCTCACAAGATGACCTCCCTAATTTATCCCATACTGTACAGGTTTTATTTAAAAAATGTAATGACATTTAAACTTGCTACTAACCTTTACTGATATTGAGGATAAATTTGATATGATAATGCTGATGTTGTTGAAGTCAGAACTCCGAGGGTTCATCTGGGGTGTCTGGGGAGGCCGGGGAGCCTAGATGCAGGAGGGATGGGGCAGGAGGAATTGGGGCTGCCTCCTCTCACCCCCACCCCAGCAGGCCTCGCAGGGGGCAATGGACAATCTGGCCAGGGGCCCCCAGCGCGCAGCCAGGGAGTAGGGTCAGGGTGCGGGGGCTTGCCTCGCTCTGCCCACCCAGCGCTCCAGCCAGGGAACAGGGTCCTGGCGCAGGGGCTCGCCCCACTCCACCTGCCCAGTGCTCCAGCCGGGGAGCGGGGTTGGGGCGCAGGGCTTACCCCATTCCACCTGCCCAGCATTCTAGCCGGGGAGCAGGCAAGTCCCCATGCCCCGATCCCGCTCCCCGGCTGAAACACCGGGTGGGCGGAGCAGGACAAGCCCCTGACCCTGCTCCCCGGCTGGAGTGCCAGGGGGGAAGGCAGGCAGGCAGAGCGGGACAAGACCCCACGCCCTGACCCCGCACCCTGGGTCTGTGCCTGGGGTGGGATGGGGGCCCTGACCCGAGTGTCCATTGCCCCCTGCAAGCCTAGCTGGAGGGGATGAGGGAGGCGGCCCCGATCCTTCCTGCCCCATCCCTCCTGTCTCCCCTCCCCCGCCATTGCCTGCCCACCCACCCGAAGTCGGGGCCCCCCCAAGTGTCCCATCCTGGCTACGCCACTGATCTGCACATCTTGACAACTATGCTGCAGCGTGTAAAAGTGAATCAATACCATGTACAAAAATAAAGGGTCACAATTTATTGACCATGCATAACGGGCACTGTGCAAAAAAATACCCTGTAAATCGAGGCCCGACTGTAACCATTGTTTTCCTTATAAAAATGGATTTAGAATAATTTTTTTCATTTAAACAGTGGTACAAACAGCTGCAATAGGAGGAATATTTCATTTACAATCGCTATTTTTTTAAGTAGTGCACTGAATAATACTCAATGAATGAGTGACTTTTTTTGCCATTTTGTTCAGTGTCCACCTCAGACATTCGGGGTTCTGAACACACGCCACCATCTGCAATACATACAACTTCAAAGTCATCTGCAGTCCCACCACCAGTGCTGCAGCTACACACGTCAGACAGTAAATTACTTCTATTAAAAAAAAAATCTTCTTCATCCAATAAATCCATGGCTGAGTTCGTTATCAGGACCAGCAAATTTCAGCAAGAGATTAAAAGATTGCTCAATTCACTTATACAACAGATTCTCCCTTTCATTTTGTTCAGAACAAACTTTTCATTGAATGGTTCGATGGTTACAGGCCGAGCAGACGTTGCTGGAAGGATCCTGGATACCGTGTCTGAGAAGGAAGTTGAACCGCGTGCAAAAAACACTGACAGGAAATTCATTAATCTGAGTCTTGATGGGTGGAGCAGTGTACAGTGCTTGTGTGACAGACATCCCATATTGTGTTATCTAACAGAAACAATACATCACGAAATGCCCATACAGCAGAATACTGAAAAGTAGTAACCGAAACAGCTATACAAACTGAACAAAAATTCAAGTGTCAAGTATGTAGCTTTGTCACAATACGGCAAATGCAGCAACGAGGAGAAGAAATCTAGAAGAAGATAATGAAAGAAATGAAACTTAGAACATGTGGGCGCAATTCTCATTTGATGCCTCTTTTAGGCCTGGTCTACACTAGGGGGAGGGATCAATCTAAGATACGCAACTTCAGCTACGAGAATAGCGTAGCTGAAGTCGACGTATCTTAGATCGACTTAGATTGACTTATTTCGCATCCTCGCGGCGCGGGATTGACAGCCGCCGCTCCCCAGTTGACTCCGCTTCCACCTCTCGCCCTGGCGGAGTTCTGGAGTCGACGGGGAGCACGTTTGGGGATCGATTTATCACGTCTAGATGAGACGCGATACATCGATCCCCGATAGATCGATCACTACCCGCCGATCCAGCGGGTAGCGTAGATGTACCCTTTGTCAAAGACTTAAGTACAACTCCAGGAATAAACGAAAATATTGCTGAAATGGCAAAATACTTCCATAACAGCCACTTTGCTTCAGCTTCAAAGAGAAATACAGGAGGATCCAAACTAATTCTCCCCCTAGATGTACGATGGAATTCAGTGGTTGACTGTTTTGAGCTATTTATTAAGAACTGACTTCTTCTGATAACACTGTGAAGACAATCATGACAAAAAATGATGGAACCATCACAACCAAAGTAATCAACATTGGACTAAGGAGAAATGTTGAAGATATGCTGAATGTACTGAAACCTATTTCCATAGCTTGGGACAAATTGCAGAAAGATTGCTGCAGGTATTGCTGATGCTGTTGAAATTTGGAGAGAACTTCAGGAGACATTAAAGAAAAAGACCCAACAACATAAGACCATAATATAAGAACACAGGAATGGCCATACTGGGTTGGACCAAAGGTCCATCTAGCCCAGTATCCTGTCTTCCGACAGTAGCCAAGGCCAGGTGTCCCAGAACAAAGTTAAGCTCCACCTCATTTTCTTGCCAATATTCTCAACCTAAAGCGTCAGGGTAGATGCCTAACTGCTGAAGATGTTGCCAACCATAATAGAGATCAGGACTGGAGGTGACAATTCAAGCAGTACGTGTTTGCTGATGTTGCTTTAAAGACAGCACCACTAAACTGGAAGGCACTAGCTAAGCACCTGGAACCAGAGTTTGTTGAAGGGCTAAACCAGCTTTTGACAGCAGTAGCCTCTTCTGCAGGTATAGAAAAAAATATTTTCTTCATTTGGACTAATTCAGTCAAAGTTGAGAAATCAATTGGGAGTTGAAAATGCAGGAAAACTTTTCTCTCTTCCATCTATGACTAAAAATGGAGGAGGGAGGGGATGAGATCTACTAGTTTTAAACGTTTGCAGGACAGCCTAAGAAACTTAGGAGACTGTTGTCTCATTTTCAAGAAACATAGGTGAATACGAACTTAAGTTCCAGTCACTTTCACTTATGCAAACTAAAAATTTTCCCAGGCTGATCCGAAATAATCAGTTAATTCACTGACTGCAGTTAATCCCTCTGTTTAAGAAGTCATTCAACTATAAATGAGAAACACGTTTTGATAAGATACATTTGTATTTAAAATATGTAAAGTTGTTTTGTTTAAATAAAAATAAATGTTATGTTGTGTGTGTTTAAATTCCAGTTACCATCAAATGCAAACTTGACACAAATCATGAGCAAGAAGTTAGTACACCAACATATCATTTACTAGATAATTATTTTCTAACATACTAAAAATGTACAGTTACGAATCTGAAAATATGAATCTATATAATTGCTTAAATAAAAAGTACCCAGTCATAGTGAACCCTCCTAGGTAGCAAAAAGATGTACCAATTCTAGTGTAAAGCCTCTATTTAGCTTTAAAATCAACATGTTTTAATGGTTACTCCACCAGTGAGAATGCACTTCTCTTTAGGATAGAACTGAAAAACAAACAGAAAAATTGATTCAAGTCACTGATTTAAATCGAGGTGTTTAACTTGGTGATTTAAATCAATCCCCCCTGAGCCAACTGAATGATTTTGGGAGCTGGACGTGTGATTTTGGAACACTAGGAGCTGGCGATTCAGGGACAGAGTGAGTCAGCATTAAACAGCAAAACCTTTGCTCACAGGATGCCCTGCTGAAGGGATAGCTCCCAGAACGAGCCCAAGATCTTGATTGTTTTGCTCTCTGCATGGAGCAGATGGTCTTTTTCCAGCACTGGTTCCTCAGCGAAACCCCCAAGGCCTAGTCTCCGCTGGTATTCATGATGGCGTGCCTGGATCTGCATTAAACTTAAAGAGGCAACACTTTGCAATTGGGAAGCAAGAAAACCAACCAGGCAGGGTTTTTAAGACCTACTTAGAATAAGTGAGCGAGATGAGATGGACATACAAGTGCTCTGGGGACGAAATATAACCCTAGACTGGATTCCTGGGAACCAACATCAGACAGAACAGAGCTGTCAACTGCTTGGCATGTGGAGTGCTGGGAGCTGTGGGGGGGGGGGGGGGGGGGGGGGGGGG